GAAAGGAAAATCTTCCCTAAGAAACAACAAAAGTAAGCACTACTTTTCATGCTTTGTGAGGTGTTTTGTGAAAGAAAAAGCTTTTTCTTCTTTGATTTTTGTATTCAAACATTCCATCTACGGAAAAAAAGCATTAATGTAAAGTTGAAGAATAAGAAAACTTTCAAAATGAACTAAAGTAAAATAAACATAGATAAAGAATCTATCTTTAAATCTTAAAAAAGACGTTTTTACTTTAGAATCGCCAAAAGATGGTCATATTGGTATGACTTTAAATTAAACCTCTGTCTCTAAGTTGGGAATTTGTCACTATATTGGCTTTTAAAAAAGCAAAGGAGTTTCGGAGAAAAAAGGGATTTGATTAAATTCTTGTCTACGTCATTTTCTCCAATTCATCCATATATGTTGTTTTCGTTAACAATTAAAAAAAAAAAGAACAATAAGATTGAAACATAGAAATTTAAGTAGTTCGATAATGTACCTCCGTCCACTATTATACAACATGAATAATTCAATAACTTCGAACATGGTTACATAGAGTTGTTTATATAGAGTCCTAATCCCGATAATATCCTTACAATGCCTATCAGCCCGTCCCCTCTGCTCCATCAACTAGCCCTCCATACTAATGTATGAGTCACCTAATTAACAATCTAAAAATGCTTTCACTTTAGGGTTAAAAGAACTCAAACAAGTTACTTAAACTTTGATTTTAAATCATTCCTAAAATACATTGTAAATTTAGTGGTAAAAGTAACTACTCTTTACCTTAGTTAAAAGCCTTAAAGAATGAATTATTTATTTATTTGTGTTTGTTATTTAAAACACGTTGTCACTTTACATATATTTCCTTTTTAACAAACGTGTGAAAGATAAACAATTTACATAATGCGATGACAACGAGATTTGAATGACTTTTTAATTTGACACGATATATTTGATAAATGTAAATTATCTTGTATCTTCTATAACTCGAGAATATGGTCTTAGATCAATACTTAGGGTTTTTTTTTAAGGAATGAGTCTTTTTGCTTGAGACAATTTATAAGGGTTCATTTCACAGGGTTTTTAAAAAATTAAAAATTACTCGTGGGACTTCTATGCACAACATGATGTAGATCCTGAAAACCCTCCTGATGGAAGAGCGGAAGAGATTGAGAGTTTAGTTGAGCATGTTGAAATGCCTTTATATCCTGGTTGTAGGGCGTTCAAGACGATGTCAGCTTCAGTTGCTATGTTTAAGCTTAAAGCTTCACATGGTTTATCTGACACTGGTTTTGATGAACTCATAAATCTTGTTGGAGACATGCTGCCAGAGAATAATACACTTCCAAACTCATTTTATGAGATGAAAAAACTTGTCAATACATTTGATCTTGGCTATGAGAAGATACATGCTTGCGTGAATGATTGTTGTCTATATAGGAATGAGCTCGAACAAGTTGAGTTATGCCCAAAATATGGTTGTTCAAGATGGAAAGTTAACCAACGGACTAAAAAAATTCAGAAAAAAACTCCAGCAAAAGTGTTGCGTTATTTTCCTATAATACCAAGACTTAAGAGGATGTTCGGAATAGAAGAGATGGCAACACAACTGAGA